AATGCTACTGTGTCCCTCATTAAAATACTCATTAAGTGTCTTTTTAACACGTAAAGCTAGAGACAGTCTGAGACTGAGCAGTCAGGCTTAGTAGCTGGCCAACTGAATTGTAAACGATAGAAGCTACAAGGCTCAGAAAGGGAGGTTAGCACCTGTGTTTTCCCTCTTATTTGCTAAATTACAGATGATCACTGGGCTGTAGCAGGATATTGAAGGAGGAAAAGAACAACACGCAGAGGAGCAGGTGAGGAGGTTCTATAAGTGGCTGTAATAGAGAGAATTCAAATGTGGCAGAGGTGGTGAAAGTCAGATAATGACTATGAGATCTGGGCAGAGGAGATGAAAGAACACTAAGCAAGGGGAAGAGGCATAAGAAAAATCAAGGGAGAAAGTGTGAAAAATGAAAGGTAAGCCTAAAGAATAGAAAATATGAGGACAAGCACACATTTCTTCTCTCCCTCTTCACTCTCCCCCTCCACACCCCGATAGTGCACTCCTCCCTGCTACTTGTTAATGCAGTAAGAGAAGTAGGCTCCCTCCTACTACAAGGTGCTGGCCTCCCCCTCTGCTACAGCAGGACAAAAAAGGCTGCCTGCACATTTATAACATCTCATCATAGACTTGCCTACAGTGCTGAACCACCCCCTCCTCTGGCAAATCTCACCCATGAGGGCGTACGGTTTGCAGTCACTAGAGGTGCACGTTGCAGGAACAGCCCAGAAGTCTTAGTCAGAGAAGCCACTTTTACAAACAGATACTGGTATAAAGCACTTGCAGAATTGCACAAGCTTTATGAAAGAGGAGCACAGATACAGTGCCTCCCTTTCCATGATAAGTGATCATTAAAAATGTTCAACGGAATATAAAGAAGGAAAAGTGATTTCTTGGCAAGTTTCTATGTTCTCAGAAACTTCAGCAAGCAGCTGAGCCTTTGTTCCAGCTTTTACTGTGGATAAACTCTCAGGCACTACTCAAAGAGCTTGCATACTTTCATACAATATTCTTATACCTGTAGATGCAGGTATCTTTCATACAGAATTGAACAGGTGGCTGCAACAAAAATAAGACTAGATAGGACAGGTGACCAGAAACTGGTCACGATGTAAGAACAAAGCAATGGAAGAACATTTATAAAGATTTAGCTCTGCGAATAAATAGTGCAAAAAATATATGTATTTTCAGGAAGATGACCCACCTACTGAAACCTAATAGGACATTTCATTAATATCCTTCAGCCTACCCATGAGATAAAGTTATTTAAATGCATTATTCAGCAATTTTATTTTTTTTTTCTTTTTTCCCTCTGTATCAAATAGCTGCAGTAGCAATGTGCTTTTTACAGAACTGAAGGCAAAACAGTAAGAATAGTAATATTTTCAGTAAAAATAAATTAATTAATATATAAAAGGCCAAACAGCTGTCTTCTGAAATTAGTCATGAACTACTTCATGGCTGTATCACTATAAAATAAGCCTCCGTGACTTGACCAACCATTTTGCTATATGTTACCAGACTCTTATTTTAACAAAAACTGCCTCATTTTATTTTACCCTTCTTTTCAGATCTTTGCAGCATATGACTGGACTGATAGTGTTCTTCTAATAAATAACGTGCCTGAATCATTATCATTCTGGTCAGTGCCAAGAGACAGAGGTATGCAAATTCAAAACACAGATTATTAAAAAGACCAAACTAATAATTCTCACTCCCATTTCCCAAAGAAAATAATATTTAAAATACTATCAAATATGATAGTGGTAAAAATGTAGTACACTGCCTGGCATTTACAGCAGAATGTTTTTTTTAAAAACATGCCAGTCACCTTTCTGAAGTTTAATTGGTGGCTGAAGAGATCAGGACAGGAGGTTCCACAGAGTTATTCCAGGACCACATTGTTCATGAAAGTTCTTGACAGTGTATTGACTTTGCTTAGAAATTTTATGTCATAATAAAAAAAAGAGACAGCAGTATGATGATAATGAAAAGGAACCACTTGGTATTCTGATGAAGTTGGAAAATTAGGACTGTTTACATAAATCAGAACTTATTTGCATTTCCTGACATTTCTGGTCTCTTTTCACTTGATCATGAGTTATGCTATATAGTAAGTAGATTAATGAATAAAAGAAAAAATAAGCAAAGCACCCTGCCATCACAGCTAGTACTACCTGCAGTTTGGCCAAATTGCTTCCCTGCTCTTAACTCTGTCCCAAAAACAGATTCTGTGATTTATGCATCCAGGAAAAAGCTTTTAAAGAGCATTCAAAACTGTATGTTTAAGTGCTTATTTGCACAGGCCCAGATGGCATTTTATGCAGACCATGGGCAGATTAAAATCTTGCATTTCTGAGTATTCAGCCTTTGTAAAGCAACTTTCAGAAATCTGTTAGAACTTGTTCCCTTGCCTTAACTAGGATTATAAGGAGGTTGTAACAGACGTAATAGGCACACAAATAATAGTTTCTAAATCACTCTGTTTCACAGTAGGCAGACAAGATTCCCAAATTATTCTCCCACTTAAATACTCTTTGTGATTTCAAAATGAAATAGAAGTTATCAGTTAGAATTATATGCCTGCTGCCTACTGCTTTTAATTACTCTAAACATATCTGGAATTACTATGTAGATCAATATTCATTGGTGCCAATATTTTCCATAGCAGGGAAGAGATCTCCCCATTCTCTCTTCCTCTAAGTCCTTATTTTCCTGCAGAACAGGAACAAATAATACTAACAGCCTCTAAGTATACAACAAGTCACAGAGATAAAATGTCTTCTGCTGTATTCTGCTTAGGCTGGAATAGCTTCGCTTTGGATTCCTCTTCTCCATGACAGTAAAGAGGGAAGGCATTAAACACACTAGCAGATAGCCCAGGAGGTATTAACACCTACATGAGATGACTCTCAGGAACACATCAAGCCTGTCTTACCTCCAGGCACAAGACCCAAGTGCTGCACTCACTGACTACACCAGAACGTGCAGATATTTGCCCACCTGTTCCCTTTTACTAGAGCTGCCCTTCTTCCTCACAGCCAGGTCTCTCTGAGCCTTGGTAGAGTCCAAAATGTTTAAATTTGCATATTTAAAAGAAAAGAAGCCACAGAAAGAAACTGTTAAGAAATGCATTTTCATCCCAGTGCTGGCTGCAATTTAGAGCCGTGGGAGCAGGGATTTTACCAAGCTTTCATCTGCAGAGTTGCAACAGAGGAATGACATCAGACTCATGAAGTCAAGTTAAACAAAATGCCATTAAAAACTCAGTTGCTGAGACAACATTAGATCAAAGCTGACCAAAGGAAAACAGAGTCATGAGAAAAATAATGGCACTAATTACATTATGTAATTCCTGAACACTACAGCCTGAATAATAGGAGGAATTCTCTCTATAAAATCCTCTCTCCCATTTCATTGGCATTGTTAACACATTGGGAGTTTAGCAGAAAACACAGTAAAGATAATGTAACTCTACTAAGTATCAGGGCCTGTGTATAGGGAAGAAAATAAATAAGCAAAAAAGACTAATGGCACAACATGGAAAAAAGGTGCTCCTGAGACTACATAACTGCAATAGCACCAATTATAAAGGTGCTGAATGTAACTCACTGGACTGGAATGAGTACCCAGGTCTGATTTAAATCTGCTCTAATTTGAGTCAGAAGGAAACTGGCTCCAGATTCCCCAACAGTCATGGTGGGAAGGATGCTGCTCACCTCCTCACCTGTGAACAACACTAGAGCACGTCTGAGGTGCTGCAGCTAAATGTGTAGGATCAGCAGTGGAGACCTCATAAACAAACTTCTGAGTAAATATTTTACCATGCATATATAAGTACTTATTAAGATTTATATCACATGCTCAGTGTCCTTGACATTTTACAATAGTGTTTATTTCCCTGCTCACCAGTTTGCAGAACTGGATAATCTACAGGGAATTTACACATTAGAAATGAGCAAGATTCTTGGACACAACTTTGTAAATAGGACATTAACACAACAACATTCTTGTATAAACATACACAATGCTAAGTAGGGATAAGGCATTTCCTACAGGCAGAGTAGGTCCTGTATCCCACTGTTGTGTATGCTTAAGGTGAAAGGACCCCATTTGTTCTGTGAAGCAGAGCCCTTGCTGCCCCCCCCCCAAGCTGAACACACAGAGGGAAGAGGCTGGGAATTAGGTCAGTGAATCAATGACCCTCCAGTTTTATCAGCCCAGTACTCTTATTTAGGGAAA